TAGTTACGTTACGTTACGTAACGTAATAACGTAACGTAAGTAAGTAGTACTACTACGTAGTACGTAGTACGTACGTACGTACTACAACAACAACGAACGAACGAGAGAGAAGAGAGAGAGAGAGAGAGAGAGAGAGAGAGAGAGAGAGAGAGGGATGAGGGACCTTGTGGCTCCAAGGCCAATGTTATGGGGAAAGATGGTGGCTCCATAACAGTTATTATGGCCATGGACCGCATCAGTACCATAGAGGACCGGTATGGAGAGCCGAGATTCAAGTGCCCATCTTTGGAAACCATCTACCATGTCTGCCCATTCTTCAGCTGAGGCCCCTGATCTTGGGGTACTGCCTCCAGCATTAAGAATGCTCCCTTCCAAATTACAAGAGGTTCTCCAAAACTCAGTCCAATATTTCAAAAGGGTTTCAGTGACATCAAGAATAGATCAGTTAGTAGTACCCAACTAAAAAACCTAGCACATATTATATATATATATAAAGGGAGAATCATTTTCTATACGATTGGCAAAATCAGGTAAGTCTTATGTCTTTATTGTTTAAAGCACAAACTCATAGTCCAAGATTCCCAAAAAGGTTGGGTAGATCAGTTAGCAATTCCCAATTTATTTAGAAAATTGAATCAAACCTAAACCAATTTGAAATGAAATTTGGTAAAAAAAATTCCAATTAGGGCTCAGATAGTGGTCAATCAGAACCATTGTCAATATTTCAGGAAACATTCCCAGTTAAGGAACTGGAAAACCAGACAGTTAAAAAACTGAAAGAAAATAAAAATGATTTATAGAGTGGAGAAAGGAACTATTTTTTCAAATTTCAATCCAGAATTACTGCTAAGAAAAATAAAAGCTAAAAATCAGAGCCAAAATAGATAGAGAAATAGTCCAAATATTCTTCATTTAAAAATAAGAAATATAAATAAATACAAAAAGGGAAAAAAAAAAAAAACCGTATGCCTCATTCAACTTGTTCCCAACATGAAATATCAATTGGAAGGCAATACTCAAACATAAGAAACGGTTCAGAATCTCAGTTTAGTTTTCATTAACATTCAAAATATTTTTCAGATACCAGTAAAACTTTCCGAAAACAATGACCCAAAATCCAAGATTTCATATGAACAATAGACATAATTCAAAGAAAACTGGATCAAAATCCAAATGTGCTTGATTGGCTGAAGTTCACGTTAATTTCAAACATCAAACTTGTCCAAACTATAATCATCAAAATCAAAACCCAGCCCGAATTCCGCCAATGATTTGGATTGTCGATGGAATTGGCAATGAAATTAAAATTCAACCTCGATTTCAAGCAAGTAAAGGAAAAAACAACTGAAATTAAGGTGAAACCATTAATAACTGATGTTTTAAGCAAATTTAGACCTAAGAAATAACCAGAGTAAAACAAAACCAAAAACTAAATTCAGCCGAACTTCATGGCATTATGCATTTAGTGCTGAGAACCCACACCAAATTTAGAAGAAAGAAGTAATCCCACCTACAAATGGAATTAGAGAGAGAGAGAGAGAGGTGGGTAAATAGTACCAATGAATTGGTTCTTCATGGCGTCGAGGGTGACTACTGAGCGTTCGATCTGGGTCATCTGCCCCACTTTCTCAGCAATGGTCATCCGTAACAATAGATCTTTCACTCTCTCTTCTATTGCTTGCTGTGGATCTTTGTAAATGGGCTTTTCCGCCATTCTTTCTCCCAGTGCTTTAGAGAGAGAATGTGTTTTAGATGGAGAAAGAGGTCTGCTTACAGGGCTTTAGTTTGAGAGAGAAAGAGAAACGTGCTTCAGATAGAGGAGAACTGCGGCCACTGTACATAGATGTTGCACCCGATGTGCTCATACCATTTTAGAGAGAGAGAGGAGAGAGGCTTCAGTGTCAGACTCCATACCAGTAGAGAGAGGGAGGACGAAATCTTTTCTTGCCCGGGAGCATATATTGTTCATCTACTCCCTAAGGATCTTGTGAGTCCATCCACTCCCTCCCGCATAAAGCCTATTTGGACGGTGTAGATAATATGTTGTAATTATAAGATTTAAAATCTTTTTATTTTTCATAGACATACATCTCGATGTCGAGATGACCAATCCTAGGGATTTTGATTATTTTTCAAATGATACCGTTGGCATACGGACCAATCATGGAGGTTTTGATTATTTTTCAAAGGGTAAAGTTGGCATACGGATGCATCGTAGCGGTAGAGATAAGGTGTGTCTTCAAATTTTATCATGGTATATAGTTTTGCTATAAAATGTTTTTAGGATTATCTCAAAATCTATTTTTATATCTAATTATAAAATTTTAAATTTTAAAAATGGTTAAAATCAAGTAGATCTATAAGCATATTAAAATCTTGAAAATGGACGGTGTAGATAATATGTTGTAAAATACACTATTTTTAAAACTTAAAATCTTTTTATCTTTCATGATCATACATATCGATGTCAAGATGATCAATCAAATGGTCTTTCAATATTAAAACTACATTTTTCGACGGATTTTTGAGGTGCATCTGTAGCTCTTCATTATAAAGTTGCAACCTTATATAAACTACCTTCTCAAAAGATAAATTTTGAATTTCAAGTATTCTAAACAGTGTTTTAAAAAACACCGAGTCGAATCGGACTCGCCCGGTTCGACTCGGAAATCGTGAAAAGGGGACAGGATCGCCTAAAAAATCGGAAATCGTCCGGTTCTAGAGAGAACCGGACGATTCTGTACAGTGAATCGCCGATTCACTGTAAGGAATCGGCGAGTCCGAACAGTGAATCGGCGAGTCCTGTACGGATTTTTTTTTTTTTTGTTGTAATCCATGATAGATTTTTTTGTAATACTTGATCGATTTTTTTGTAATCCATGATCGAATTGTTTTTGTTTTTTTGTAATCCATGATCGAATTTTTTGATTTTTTGTAACCCATAATAGAATTTTTTGTAATCCATGATCGAAATTTTTGTTTTCTTTTCTTGTAATCCATGATCGATTTTTTTGTTTTTTTTTTTTTTGTAACCCATGATAGAATTTTTTGTAATCCATGATCGAATGTTTTTGTAATACATGATCGAAATGTTTGTTTTTTTTTGTAATCCATGATCGAAGTGTTTGTTTTT